CCCTCGCGCCGATTTCCCGATCAACTGACTGCGAAAGGCAAAGAGGCGCTTGGCTTGGCGCTCGCCATGTCGTTAGATTTTGCCTTTCCATGGGCTCAATCAAAGCTACAATCGCGGCTATTATCAGTCTTTCTAGGCGCTGTTTCGATTATCGTAGAAAGTTGCTGCCAAGACCATTTTGACTTGGCCACGCCAGGCCTTCAATCACAACTCACAACCTGGCAATTGACTTGGACTATTGAAGTCAGCGCGTGTAGATCAGCAACGTATATGTCATGAGATTTCTTGGCGACAAGATGAGATGTGCTAGTCAAGGCAGATTTTCAACTGAGGCAGACTACACTACGAGCCTGCTGCCTCGGCGCCGCGTGTGCAACATCTCCAGGCGGTCACCAACATGTGAGAGCCTCATGTGAGAACGTCGGGCTAGGGCAAAAGACATCGAGGTCATCCGAGGTCGACGAACCCGATGTGTGATCTGCCACGTTGCGATCGGAACCCGCCTCTGAGTACTCCTTAACATGTTGGCTTGTTTTACTGCGAGGTTGAGAACACTTGAGTCTACTGTCTATTGTCTATTGTCGATGGAGAGGCCAGCTTCTTGGAAGAGCTATTAGCCAATCCCTAGCGGTCACCCAACACATCGAGGCGCGGATGTAAGCATTGTGAAAGAGATACTGAATTTACGGTCGTCTAACAGGCTAATAACACCTTCCTAGGACGTTGTTGACAACTCCTGCTATTATGGAACAAGCACCATGCCGTCAATGATTGAATTGATAAGATACCAAGCAGTATCTTAAGTTGTTATTTAATTTCACAATCCTGGTGCTTACGTGCAGCACAATGCCTAGGTACTAACCTGAGAACAGAGGAACAAGTGACAGTGGAAAGAGTTGGCAATTGCAAGTTAATGATGAGATCATGAGCACTCCTGAAGGCGAGGGGTATGTAGTATCTACAGCGCAGATAGAGTCAACGGGTGTTGAGAAAGTCAATGGTGTTCAGCTTCACCCTTACCGGCAATAACCTTACTGCTAGCTTGCGCATGATCCTGATACAATCTGAGTATCTCTCTACAAGACTTACATGATCTTCGCATCTGAAGCTTTCGTATTCAAGCGAAAGGTCTTATGGAGTCGTCTGGCGCGATCAGGATGTCTCCATGTCTGTACAAGACTAGAAGTTACATGTACCTAGAGTGATTTCTGGAACCTGGATCAGTCAAGCAGATTTGTTGATTACCATATCATTACTAGTTCCTCAAAGGCTATCATGATCTTTAATGAGCCATTTAAGGTATCTTCAGGAGTTAGAATCACGGCATTACAGTCAGTAAGTATATGATCATTGCTCTACGCGCTGTTAGTGCCTGATCGAGTCCATACTCTAGACCGACCTGCGGATCGTTGGTCCAATTAGTCTAAAGTCTTAGTAAGGCTTCCCGAGAATTGCATCCAGGACGAGTCAAGAAAAGCACTATCTGAGACTCACCATCTCTAGTGTCACATGGACAGTCTTGAGAGCAATTTAACACGATTTCCTTAGGCAGAATTAGCCGTACGCATGGTAAACACCGATTCGCGACAAGAGTAACCGTTTTCGTCAGATTTATGCTTCTCGTTTTCGTTCTCGTGGTCCGCCATACTTGCGATCGTGCGCTCTTTCAACCACTTAAAGCACGAGGCAGGCCTCGGTCTTTTGTTGATCCATTGTCTAGGTACCAAGGATACTAAAGACAGTACCTCCGTGCTCTCCGTTGCAAAATGACGATCAAATGACTCTCGCGCCAGATATGGTTCAAATTTTGACTTCAACGGACTCTTGCCGACCAGGCTTCCCGAGCTAGCGAAGCACTTACAACAATAACTAGCTAGAGCACAGATTACTCACACCAAGCCGAAGAACGATCAGGAATACCATGGAATGAGCTCAAATTTCTAAAATGTAGCAGGACACTAATGGTTTCTGGTGTCGCTCAGTCTCAATTCCGGACCCATCGGCGAGTCTAAAAATCGGACCTTAACACGATCAGCATGCGCGTCCATCTGCGAAATACCATCCGCAGCTCTTAGCCTCTCCCGAGATTCCGCATCGAGTCCATGGGCTAGCCCTGCCAGTGAACTTCCTCTCCAGGCAGGCAGTCCCAGCCGTCTTGTTTCGATAATGGAGAACAAGCAGAACAAACAACCGGCCAGTAATGCTGCCATTGGAAGAGACAGAAACCCCCAACGTACGCGGATATGAACCACCCATTGCAGCGTCTTGCCCTCCAAGGGCTCCTCTTCCAGAGAGAGATCACGTATGTACTTTGTCAAACCAGCTGCGGCTGCCTCAAACATTGCCGTGAAATTTTGGGATGCCCCTAAGCTTGTGATTACGTTAGGCTGTTGTTGTAGAACCTGAGGTGATCGACGTAGCGGCGGGTATACGAGCTGCTTCTTGCTCAGAGGGCTAGGCCGACGGGCGAATTGATTCGCGAATGCTCCAGTGATGCTTCCAGCCGCGTTTTGTGAGATATTGAATCGCAAGCTGTTTTCTGTGTTTAGACCGGTGGCGGCACGATACTCTTCCGGCGAAATCAACAGTTGGAGGTCGGTTCGGTTGAAGTCTGACTTGTCGTAGTTCAAAGTGTAATTCGTGTACTCGTTGTATGCTTTCGAGAGCTCAGATTCATGAGGATTCAAGGAGAGAAAGGAATCAAGGTTCCTGTTCACATAGGTACCCAAAATAGTCTCCTCTAGAGCACCTTGCTTGATCGTGGTTTGGTACACATTGGCACAGAAGTACAGAGCGCATTCATGTGCTACGATGGTCGTGTCGTCCCATGCCTGCTTGCTTTCCCTGAAGTCGCTGCTGGACTTCATCATTGCAAAGGATATTATGAGGGACTTCATGTCGCGGAAGCTGATTGTTTCTGTTGGCTGGGTTGTTGCTTTTGCTGTCAATTCTGTGTTTATAATCGTCTCATTGTCTTCCCTCAAGGCCGCTACGGCCGCTCCATCAATGTTTGATATGTTCATACCGAGCGCCGGGATCTCGTACTTGATGTAGCCAGCCGTCATGTTGGGTATCAGATGTATTGAACCTGACGAGATGAAGTTTACCATTGTGAGACTCTCATCTTCAGCCTTCATCAAGTTGGCTCTGCCGGTCGATTTGACAATGTTCTTTGAGATGTCGCTGCATGAGCTGCATGTTGCTAAAGATGTGTAAGGGGCCCAGGTGCAGTTGCCTGAGGGGCAAGTGAACGCCACATTCTGGCTTTCAGCGGAATTGAGACTCGAGAAACCAGCCCACATTGCGGCGAGAGCACCAAAGTCATACTGGGAAAACATTGAGATGCCAGTAATTGCTTCTCCTGGAAAGTCGGGCACCGTCAGTGCGACTGCAGCTCCTGAGATGCTGATATGAGAGCCGATGTCAAGTCTATCAGTCTTTCCGATCGTTGCCTTGGCGATAGGATCTGAAAAAGATATTTCTTCGCCCTCGAAGTCAATTATAGCCTGTAAAAATGGCTCGAAGCCCACCAAAATGACTGTCGATAATGCCCCGAGCGCAATCCAGTGTCTGAGGTGAATGATGTGTTACTGCAAGTTCTTTGAGGCTTGCCAAATAGTTAAACGGAAATGATGTCCAAACCTACCTTAGCTTCGACCACCATAGGAGCCTGACGCTTCCCCAAGGACCACGGCTAGCTTCTTCGAAACGATCGAAGACCATGATTGTATCGTCTCGTTTTCTATACCAGTTCCACTTTCCTTGACTGATGCATGCGCTCACAGCGAATGCCAGTGTTGCCCTTGATGTGGCTCCAAGAATTGAGACCACGGTATTGAAGGAAAAGCGAAACGACCAAGATGCCAGGGGTTTGTCGTTATAGAGAGGGAGGAGGATGGCAATAGCGACGAGGGCCGAAATGCTGAGTGAGACTGCGAGAACCTCAAGTATCCAGTGATACTGACTTGTAGGCAAAATAGTAGTCGCCTTTCTTAAAAGATTTAGGCTAGATGTTTGGCTCGCATGCTCCATCATCATATTTTCGTCGGGATCTGTGGACGACGTCGACTTTAGATGTAGGAGCGGCTTTCTCTTGATGCGAGGCGGGTTTCGCGAGCCGTAAAGCCCATCAGTCGCCTCGTCGCTGATGAATAGCTGCTCCATAGGGGCGTGATATCCTGTAGACGCATCATCTTGATCCAACTCTAACGAGCCTATCTGTTGGACTGGTAAAGGTCGGTGATATGTAGACATCGTGTAATCGTGCAAGCACCAAATGATCCCCCCCATACAATGGCACAGAGACAATTAAGCTTACAGAGAATGGGAGTTGTAGCTAAATAATAATAGTCAGAGAATGGTGGGAGATCTGCATGTCTAAAATTAAAACCTAGTTTAAGCCTAGGTACCTCTCAGCCACGATGCACGAGTGGCATGCAAGTGCTGTGCGCTGTGACGTTTCCTGACAAAGATACACCATTTGTGTGGTTCAATTTAGACAGCGACCACTAGAAAAACCAAGGCCGCCCCCAGAGACATAGGTTGTACTCCGCAGTCTCACAAGCAGAGTAAGACGTAAGAGACACTGGCTCGCTAGCGTGAGATCGACAGTCCTGCAGGCTGTAGCTGAATTGACTGGCCATCTTGCCCCTGAAGCTCATGTTCCTCAGACATGTCTCTCAGCGCAAAGGGTTGTGGTGGCACTTGGGAAACATGCTGCCTAAATACAATCAGCATCCCACTGTGACCGAATCTGACGGCGGCCAATAAAGCGGATGTCTGCAGACAGGGGTCATCGGGGAATGGATGGCAGCGTGGCATCGTAAGCGCTAATGATATGCAGCTAGATTATGGGTTTACGAATTTACTTTTCCGCTCCCTATTGTCACTTGACTCCATTTGGTGCTCGCTCCTTAAATTGGTGGACGGCTATCCTCCTCACGTCCGAGGCCAATCGTACAAGTCTTTCTTTGTTTGTATCAATAGTTGCAGGGACAACAATGACGGCCACGACAGAGAAGACCACGGTGGTCGTCCTCGCGACAACCGAGAAGAATGCCGCCGACGATGAAGTCAGTCAGATATGGCTCGAAGTACAGAACAGAGTCATCCGTATGGCTGGAGGAGACCCATCGAAGATCGACAAACAACTTGATATTGATGGAGTTATGCGATATCTGGAAGAGACTCAAGCAGCGGATCAGAAAGCAGCCGACAAACACGGCACTGTCAAGAAAGCGTTCAACAGAACTTTGAATTGCATCTCCAAAGTTGGAGGTATCATTGCTGATGGCGCTTCGTATGTAAGATTCTCTATTGGTATTCTGACTGAGATGATTCGTGCTAATCGGCGTGTTTCTTGTTTAGGCCTTCGCCCCGGCAAACACTTGTTTCAACGCTCTCACGTTTGTGATTGGGGCATGGCAGTCATACTCGGCGGTTTTCGAGAGTCTCGCGGAACTGCTTGAGAAATGTGCCCAATTTCTTGAGCGTCTACCATACTATGGTGGTATGGATGCGTCTCTGAGAAAGGTGGCTTGCTGTCAACTCAAACTTTTCATCGACGTCTGCGATCGCACTCTTCAGCTCAAGCCGAAAAGACGCAAGATCGAGATGTTTTTTCGCCAACTTTTCCTGGACGACGACTTCATCAAGGACCTCCTCGGTCAGATGGAGAACCTGACCGCCAGAGAGCATAGGCTCGTTTCTGCCCAGTCACTCAAGGCTGGCCAAGACGCTGCCAAAGCTTCCAAAGAGAGTGTCGTCAAACTTGACACTCTCATTGAGAGCAATGTGGCGCAGAAGCAAGACAAGTTGGATCAGCACTTCAAAAGCAAGGTCCAAGAAGTTTTCTTCGGCAAGAATGCAAAAGACTTCGACACATGGGATGCCGCGTTACGCAAGAATAAGAGCTTGCTTCTCAATGGCACCGGTGAATGGTTGGACGATGATACCCTATTCACCTCGTGGATGACTGGCAGTAACGAAGCAAGTCCGATCCTTGGGATCGAGGGTGGGGAAGGTTCTGGAAAGACACTCCTGGCAACTCATATCATCAGTCGACTACAGAAACACAGACTATCGAACAGTGCGAAGGCCAGATCGGCGATTGCGTACTACTTTCTCGAGGAAGATTCAAAGGACAACTCCAAGGCCACATTCAAGAAGAAGCATGTCTCCGAAGTGGTGTCGAAAGGTGTCTTGTGGCAGTTGGCTCAGATGGAGCTTCCGTACCTCAAGTCCATTGCTGGACTCTGTGACAAGGTGAACACCGAAGATCCATCGGATATCTGGAATAAACTATTGCTGGAGAACGAAGACCGCCCAGGCATCGAGAGCACGTTCTTCATCGTCATAGACGGACTGGGCGACAATATCAATGGGCTCGCTGGTCTTTTACAGAGAATTTCGGCAGACGCATCTCGTCTACGCACGCGTGTAATCATTACGGGCAACCAACATAGCTTCGACGTGCTTGAGGAAGCGGGTGACATGAGAGTCACCAGAATGAAACTCGGTTTCCGGAACTCCATTGACATTGAGCTATACATCATAGCCAGGATGGACGCAATGGAAACTTTGAATGACGCCAGTCGAGCTGGCGTTGCCGAGACTAGAACGATGATTCTATCAAGGCTCACATTTGCGACCTCCGGCGACTACTATATTACGAACTCTGCACTAAGCACCATTGAGGGTGTTGACTCCTTGTCCGAGATTGAACAATGCCTGAACGAAGTTGGCAGCGCCAGACCCAAGCAGATTCTTGCTGACATCAAAAAGCTCAACATGACGCTCAAATCGGCCGAGATTGATGAAGTCAATGAAATCATCGTATGGGTGAAATGGGCAAGGAGATGGATGTCTCCTCTACAGCTGGAAGCTGCCATACGTTTGAACACAAATTTGGAGGCATCCGGCCAGGTCTCACTTCGATCTTTGGAGTCTAAGATCCGGGAAAAGTATTCTCTGTTGTTCAAGATTGAAGATAACCGGGAAATCTCTTTCAGTGCGGAAGAGATAGGGGATATTATACCTGTAAAAAGGTATCAGTCAAGTGGCACAGACTACGGCAGCGAAGAGCAGATTTCGGCGGCGGAGATCAAAATCGTCAAACATTACCTATCAACGGTCTGCCCATCAGATGTCTACGACAAATTTGGGTTCGAAGAGTTCTTTGCTCAAAAATTAGAACGCAAGACCAAGTACATCTGCCAGGACCCCGATAATGCTCATCTCATTCTCGCGATGAGGTGCCTGCACGGCATATTGGATGGGCAGACTAACATGACACCTGGGGCAGTCAAGTTCCGGACCTACGCAACAGATTGGCTGTTCGATCACTTGGAAGAGACTGACCTCTCCCGAGCTGACCGCAATCTCAAAGCGGAAGCCGGAGAACTTTTGGCCCGCCTGTTCACGGAGGAATCTGCCATCAAAACTCTCCTTGCAAGAGACTATGGCCCTGATAGGGATGCGTTGTGCGTAATAAGCGATGTCTTAATGCCTGGGAACTGGAGAACTTGGGTTTTCTCAAATAGGGGCGCATATCTCATGAGCAAGTGGTCCGACGACTCAATGGTTATGTCGAAGCTTCGCGACCGAGAGGATGCACCAAGCACGCTGTGCAATTTCAATGGCATTGGTGGGACGAGCTGGTACGAAGCGGCAGCAAGAGTGATTGTTAAGGAGTTGCTCGAGGTAACTCATTATCAAAACACCATGGCGGATGCGTTCAGTCTGCTTTTTGGGCTCGTTAAACGGGTAAGAACTCGCAACCTTATGAGGGATCTCGAGCCAGAAGTCATCAGGAAAGAAGAAGGCTAACGTTCGCAGTTGGAGCAACGCGAAAAGGACCCTATGGCTGCCACACAGTCCGGAATTGACGACGATGAAATCTTCCGACCTACTATGACCGAATTTGACACGGTAGAGACATGGGCGAAGGAAGAACTTGGCATTGAAGAGAATGATGCACACTGGGAGGCGCAAATGGCGAGGTTACTATACTACATCGAGATGCCGAAATATGAGTGCGAGAAGAGAGCCCGGAGAGCGGTCAAACTTAATCCTGATGATTGGTTCGCTGCTTACAACCTGACCCGCTCATTCGACGAGGATCGTGACGCCGAGGCGATCTCGGTTCTCGAAAGCATCGTTGAGAAAGTTTCGAATCGTCCTCCCGGCACACTCAACCAGTATGATCGGGAGTCATTTGCGGGTGTACTAGAAACCTTGGGCGATCGTTATTGGAACATGCCCGACAATTCCGGTACGGAAAAGGCATTTCATAGTTACCTGCAGGCCTTGGACCAAACTCAAGACCCTGCAGCCGGGAGCTACCGCCAATTCATCGCGAACAAGCTTGGGCAACGCAGGGAATGGAAACTCATTATCGAGTTCTGCGAGAAGCTCCATTCATTCACATTTGGTGGCATGAATCTGGCCAGCAAAATCCTTGGCGACGGAACCGCGTACAACACTGGGGAGTTCTGGTACGCGATGTGGAACGCTTGCTATCGTACCGAGCGCTGGGATTTGCTCGCGGAGATGTGGAGAGGCACCAACAAAAAGTCCAGTGACCAAGAAAGAGACCCGTACTGGAATAACTACACAAATATGTGGTACGCTATCGGTTTGTTCCGTCGGCCTGGTCACGAGGACGAAGGTGTGATGATGTTGGAGGGTATCTTCAAGGAGAACTGTGTCATTGAGCGAGTACCAGTACCGTTCATGCAATTCGATGTCGCTTCTACTCTTCTAGTCGCCTACAACAACAAAGCTTTCGCTGAAAATACCTCCGCCGATACAAGAAAAATCTACGCCAATAAGACAGAGGGTTTGCTCAAAGGCTTAGATGAAGGTTTTCCAATGCCTGATCTCTGCCTACTCCAGCTAGCCCGATTCTTTCACCTAGACGGAAAGCAAGACCGCGCCAGAGACCTTGTTGCCAATTTCACGGCTCAAAGACTCGAGATGCTCTCCGACGAAGATGTCAGCAATGACTACGATTCGTTCCGCGATCTGGCTCTCTTGTTCATCGCGTTCATCGATGAAGCTCACATAATCGCATGCTGGGAGATGATGGCTGTGTCAAGATTTGCTGAACAAGCAGAGTATGAACGCAAGATGGAGGAATGGCGCAAGCAAGAGGAGCGACAGATCCGTCTAGAGGATGCAGCCGCTGCGAAGAGAAAAGCCATCGAACTGCCGACGACCGATCAGATGACCGAGTGTCCGAAGAAAGAGAGCCCAAAGGACGGCACAGAAGAGACGGCAGTGGAAGGAGAAGAGAAAGAGCCCGGAGAAGCGACAACAAAGGAGCTGTCAGAGGAAATGGACGAGGCCGAAATCAAGCCCTGGCTCGATATGCCGGAGATGCTCGATAATTCGATCTTCATCTGCTCTGAGCAATGTGGGTTCAAGACCAATATCCCCACTGGGATTTGGCTCTGTACAACTTGTATCGTTGGCCCTAGCCTCTGCAATTCATGCTACGCAGATATTGAGACCAATGGAGTCAGGGACATAACATGCGGGAAGGATCACAAGTTTTTCCAACTGCCTCCGTCCAGTAGAGACTCGATCGAAGAGATTCCGGTTGGTTATATCAGAGTTGGCGGCGAGCTTGTCGCCCTTGAGGCGTGGAAAGCAACAGTGCATGCCAAATACGGACCGAATGTAGAGAAGATAGCCGTGGCGGACGAGAGATATGATGAGCAGAAGGAAGAGGAATAGAATAGCAGAGCGAGAAGGAGGAGAGAGTATAGGATGGGTAGGAGGAAGAGTGGGACAAATATTGCGAGGAAGAAGGGGGGTATCGTTTCGTAGTGCTCAATATCACGCTGCGCGTTACTTTACAGTTGTTGAGTTTAGTCTCGTTACACATTACACTAATTCTGGTATCTACGCTATCAAATTTGAACATGATTCTTCCTCTAGCAAACGCCAGTGGGGATAGTGAAGCCATCGCGACGGGCAGAAGAGCTGTAGACAGCATCGGAGCCCAGACCACGCTTGGCGAAGGCGGTCCAGAGCTCGCACAGGTTGGATCCGCCAGTGAGAGCCTTGTCGGCGTCGAGGATGGCATCACGAGCTTGGATGAAGTTGGGAGAGCAGGGTTGCCTGGTCTTGTTAGTCTATTGACCGGAACGAGTGGCAGTAATGGGGATACATACAGAGCCATACCGTCGAGGACAAGCTTCAGGGTCAAGTACTTGCCATCGGTGGGGACACCGTTGGCGTCGAACTCGGGCTTGGGGCCGTCGTTCTTGCCGTGCTTGTCGATGAGGTTCCAGAGGACCTCGTACAAAGTGGTGGCCCAGGTCTCACCGATGCGGTGGACGCTGGTGAGGCCGTTGATGGTGGAGTAGGTGTTGGGGGTGGTAGTCATGGAGGTAGAGTAGAGAACGGTGCGGATACCGGCAGGGTTGTTATAGACCCAGGCGCCCATGGCGTAGTCGGTAGCACGGGTGTCGGTGGGCTTAAGACGGATGGCCGTGGCGAAGAAGTCACCCCAGCCCTCACCCATACCACCGGACTCGACGGCGTTCAGGCAGTTGGAGTTGGCGGGACCACCGGTCAAGCGGGTGGACAGACCGTGGGTGTATTCGTGGATGACGACGCCGGCCTCGAAGCTGCAGTCGCGGCGGGGAGTTGACTGGGTCCAGAGGTACATGCGCATGCGGCCGTTGGTGCCATCGGGAGGAGTAAGGAAATTGGCATTGTTGGTTCCGGAACCATCCTGGGCGAAGAGGACGACAAAATCGTTGCCGGCACCGCCCTTGCCCTGGTTGTTGATCTGGAAGTTACCAGCAGCCTCGGTGAAGCCGAGCGTGTACAGCAGGTCGTGGTAGTGGTTGGCGGTGTAGTAGAGCTGGGTGATGGAGGCATCGATGTAGGCGGATGGGGTGGTCAAGCTGGTGGAGTACTCGTAGTCGAAGTTGTACGAGGTGCTGGTCGGGCGGTAGTTGGTAAGGTAAGCAGTGCCACCGCTGGGGTTGGACTGAGCAATGCCGTTGTTGCCACGGGTGGTGGTGTAGTTGGCAGAGCCGTCGCTGTGCCAGGTCAACGGCGAGGCAGAGAGATCCCAGGGGTCGGTGACTAGAACGCGGTCGCCCTCGGTGGGATCGTTGACACCCCACGGGTAGACGCGGTAGTTGGCTAGATCGGAGACGTAGTCGACAACACCCTGAACCTTGGAGCCGGTGGCGGCATCGACATAGGTCAACAGCCAGTTCTCAGAGATGTCGGTCTCAACACGCCAGGACAGGGAGAGAGTCCCATCGGCCTGGATGAAGTAGACAAGCTTAGCCTCGGGGTCGGAAACAGCACCAGAGGTTCCCTTGATGGCATAAACCTCCGTGCCCTCCTTAGCCTCAGCGGTAGCAGAAGTAGCCTCAACGGGGAGCTGGAGAACATCCTTGGCACCGTTGAGAGCGGCAACGGGGTCCTTGAAGTCACGCTTCGTCAGGGGGCTGGCCTCGGGGAGGTCACCCTTGAAGAAGTTGTTGCCGTAAGAGAAGACCTTTCCATCCTTGCCAATCTAGATAGAACATGTCAGTCGAGTGATACCTACACCAAAGCAAAGGAAGTGTGTCTTACGTTGACGTTGAAGTCGGCGTTGTCAATATCAAGACCGTGAACAGTCTGCTTGAAGTTGACGTGGCCAATGCCGTTGGTTCCAACATAGTTGTCACCAACAACACGGAACTCAGCGTTGGGCGCAAGCTTCTTGACGAGCTCGGTGGCGGTATCGACGTAGTCGGCACGCTTCAAGAGCGCAATGGGCGGGGTTGCCTCCGTCTGGGTAGCGTTGGTGTAAGAGCCAAGCTGGGGAAGACGGAAGGCCTCGATATCGACGCCGCGGCGGCCGATGTTGTGGCTGGTGGCCGGGTGGGCAAAGACCTGCGAGGTCGGGCCCAGAAGGCCGATGAGGGCCAAGCTCTTCATGGAGCGATACATGGCGGGAAGGATGAGAGAGGTGCGGGAGAGGAGGAAACGAGGGGCTGGGGACTTGAGAGTGCCTAACGAGCTCCTTTCAAAACATCGAAAATCGAGGGAATCATGATCGATTTAAGTATCTCATGATCTTTGAGGCTCTGAGGGAGCTACCGTTGAACTTGAAGGGGTCGGCCTTCGTGTATCCCCTCGTGCCCCTCAACGCAGCCAAGGAGCTTCCTCTTCGGAGTTGCATGTTACCGAGTGCCCTGCTGCAGAGGCTGAGTTGCAATCAAGCAGTAAGACCAGGCAGGATACGATATGGGGCCTCATGATCGCTAGCTCTTGGTCAAAAGGACCACTCCACGAGACAATTGGGGCTCTATCCGGGAGGTTGTTGGCGATACGGGGTCCACGATACATGGCGAGCGCGACTCGATATGCTTGCGTGATCCGCCAGTGGTCCGGGGGCCGCATCTCCAATACCAAAGCTCGCGTTTATCGGATCTCTTCGTGAGAGAAGAGGGAAGGTCGTTTTCTTGCCATCCTTGATACTAGGCAGCGGGAGGGTTACATTAATGCTTCGTTTGCGCCGTTGGCGTCTTGGCGACGGCTTAGCTTGCAGTTGTTTCTTGGCGATATGGGGGATTCGGCACTGAGCAGCAGGTGTTCGGGTTGAATTTCTCCATGCTCTCTGCGAACCCAGAGCGCCACCGTTCTAGAAATGTGCAACGGCGTAGACAAGACCGAACTTCAAGGGTCCAAGGATATTGGATGAACTATTCGTCATTGGCAGGTGGTTAGTAAGCTTCTCCTCCAACGTACAATCAATGCGGCTCAGAGATGGACGTCAAACTAACTAAAAGATAGAAACGAAAGCTTAAGCATAAACCGACTCGTGGTCATGCACAGCGTTGCACCGCGGGGGGGCCTCTCTCATCGCGTGCCTCTCACAAGCGCGGTGAGCGCAAAGGGCTCTATCACGTAACGAACAAACTCTGCAAATCATGTCGGAGAAAGGCCCCGCAGAGCCCGCAACGGGATCGATACCTTAAACTGCAGTTCAATCTGCGCCGCTAGCAGATATTCTCCAGGAAACTAACCATGGTCCTTTTGTCTGGTCGAGTCAGACTCAATGCCGCTCTTTTTCAGGAACCGCCGTTGATGCAACGCTTAGCTTAGGTAGGTGAGATTGGGAATGGATTAAGAACGAGTGGCTTGCGATTTTCCCCCGACTCTCCGAGTGACTCGCTATGACCAAAATAACTAACGCTTGCTGTACTCTTAGTGAGTGGGGGATGAGGGGAAACATGATCCCGGGCCTGTCAGCAATCGAACAATTATGTTGTCATGACAAGACCTCAGCTGCCAACTCTGGTCAATTCTGCATCACATCTCAACGCAGAAGGTCGGAACCGCAAGGCAGACAAAATATCCGTACATTGTAACAAATTAACATGCTGTCGCAAAAGAACTTGTTCGTCGCAAGGGGTCAATAAGCTTCCATTCGCCAAAATAATCACTACGAATAGAGGAGGTAGTAATCTCAAAGCTTTACGCCTTGCCCGTGTCACTTTCTTCATGGAGGAGCACATGGCCAGAGCTTGCTGCACAATGGCGGATACGGGAATGGGAAAATCGGGCAGATGAAGTGATCATCCCGCCGGCTGAGACATTTCGCCATTCTGGTTCATTCTTCTGTATTCGTACGAGATACGAGATATCGATTATCAACAGACTCGACTTTCTCAATCCTCCAGACCTACCATTTGCTACAGCGTTCAACCCCAAAGTTGACGGAGTCCAATGGACCAACTCTTCCCCCCGGTCCGCGTGATAGTCTCGGCAGATGATGCCTGTATTCCCTGTCAGCATTAGCCGCAGACCTGCCTGTTCGGGGATCGCTCCGCTAGTGCAATGGGACGACCTTATCGATCTGGTCTTCATATCCGGGCGTGCCTTGCATGGACCACCGCTCGAACCCCCAAAATCCCCTATTCCCGCATCATCGCAGTGAGGCAACTTTCGGCTACCTGACTTGGGCAAGTGGAAGAAGGAGAATGTCAGGCTGTCAGCGCACCAGTCGGGGTTAAGACGACTAATGGCATTTTCTGCTTAAAGAAGGCTACAGGATTCGTAGACTGCCATTCGACTAACGTGGTACCAAGCCATTAGCCAACAGTCGCCAAGAGGCTTAGACACTCGCTGTTGGTGTGAACCCGAACTCCTTCAAGAAGGCGGTTCGACGTGTCGCGGGAAGGCTCAGCCACTCAGCTGAGCGGTTCGGTCCATGCCGAAGTGATCCATGATGCGTTGATTAAATGACAGCTTGGGTGCAACGTATTGGGTGGCACGTGAAGTGTTGCTTGCGATCACGACGACATGGCTTGGCATTAGAGATGAAGCCATCGTATCCTGAAAAGGCACGTTGGAGATGGAAAAGGTAAATGTTTGGATTGCTTACGATTGCACAAAACAATGCCATGCGAATAATTCCTCAAATAAGAGGTAATAACCCCCAATAATCCCGTTGGCAATTACCATCCTAGCAGAAAGCAAAGCAAAACTATAAGTATCAAATAGCACATGAAATCTGGATGTACAAGACCTAACGCCCCTATCGAACCTTACAAATCCTTCAGTAAACCACCGAGTAGTCCAATCAACCCTTCGGCAGTATCTTCAGACACCTTCGTCGATGCTCCGAAGACTCCGATGTCCATTGCACCCGCATTGATCGAGGCTTCAACATCGAGTGCGTCCTGTAAGACGTTAGATACCATGTTTTGTGATTAATT